TAAAAAAAAAAAAGAAAAGAATTGCGGCTCTGCCCAGGCCGGTTTGGCTCGGTGGATGGAGCATCGGTCTGCGGACTCAAGGGTCCCAGGTTCAATTCTGGTCAGGGGCATGTTTCTCTCATCGATGTTTCTAGCTCTCTACTTCTCTCTGTAAAAATCAATAAAATATATTTTTTTAAAGAATTGCGGCAATTTCTCTCCCGGGCTCTGAGATCCTAAAGTGTTGGGTCCAACCCCAGAAGGTCCAGGGGTTCCCAAAGGTGTGGACGGAGTCGGCAAAGAGGGAATGACACGGAGACAGCGTTCAGTCGATCATCATGGTTGGGTTCTCTTGTCTGGTTCTATCCAGGATCTCTAGCCAGGTTCTGTCTCCAGCATCTCCTGCCAGGTTCTGTGTCCAGGTTCTCTAGCCAGGTTCTCTTGCCATGTTCTATTGCTAGGTTCTGTAGCCAGGTTCTCCAGCCAAGTTCTGTCTTTTTTGTCTTGTTACATCTGTATTTATACCAGTTGATTTTTATCCTATCAATTTCTATTCCAAAGGTTTCTTATCTCCATTCCAGGGAGTAAAGATTATGTAGCTTAAGTGTGATTGTTCGTAGTTAGTGATTAACTACCCGCCTGGCACTTAGTTAAGGGTTTTATCCCCTCCCTAACTTCAGGGGAAAATCCCTACCTAGGGAAACAACCTTTCTCAGAGAGGTGACCTTGGTTAAAACACATAGCGCCAAGAAGGTGAGCAAACATATTAAGAACAGTATGCCATACACACCAGGTCCCTTGAAACATATGCTGTGCAGATGTTTCTTCCCGGCAGCCACTGTGTCAAGCAGCAAGGATGGACCGGCTTCTGGCACTAACGAGCCCATGCATCTGCCTTCAGTGCCTTTCAGGCTTGAAAATGTCTAACTCCCAGGTCTGGCCTCTTTTCCTCTAATCACATTCTTAGATTTAATCTTCTCCACCCAGGTGCTGAGCTAATCCCATCTTTCCCAGAGGAAACCCACCCTTTCCTCCTGGGAGGGACAGAAGTTGGAATCTCTCCCTTTGCCCTCTAGGATGGCACTGTCTCTACTCCAGCTTGTCTCCTTTTAAATCCCAAATTCACCCAGAGAAGAGTCTTCCCATCTCTCTTCTTTCCAAGAAAAAACACTCATCTTTACTTGGCCCTGGGTCATAAATAGGGTTCCACTAGGATGGCCCACCCCCACCCTGCCCAGCCATGACCCTGCTTCTCATGGTGATTTTTACCTGACCTCCCTCAGAGAAGCCTTAGGGTCTGAAGGGCCACCCACATGCTCAATTGCCCACCCCTTGATCCCTGTGGAGATCATGATCTGCTATGTCTCCTGACATAAAACCTTACTTGATGCACAGACACATTTCATTTGTTTTCTTTGGGGATGACACCAAAGGTGTCAGCTGTGGGCGCTGGCTGTTTTACCTGTGGATACATTTGGATTAGTCTACTGTGGCCAAAGACCCTCAGGCACCACGCTCTCAGGTTGTGCTTTTTCCTATTTAACATCAGGAAACCATTACACCTCCACTGTCTCACACTGAGGAAAGCAATAGGGGGCCATCAGTCAACCTCAGTCAATGTCTATGAAAGGAATCAGTGAGCCAGGCCTCAACCTTGTCCCTCCCTAACTTTCTCTCAATACATTAATATGGAAAGAGGAAATAATTCCAATAAGATTAAGGGATGGAGACAATAAGATTAAGGGAGGTTTCTGATTGGATATTATCATTTGAGAAGCTGTATAAAAACCTCAGGCACCAGAGGAGAGAGTCAGAGTCCTCCAGCTCTGCAGTCAGTGCCGTGGTTCTTTCTCCACCAGGTCTGAGATCTGAGCCCCAGCCAACCCAGTCACAGCAGACATTTCTGCAGGATTCCTTTCTGAGCCTTGAAGATGAGCATCCCGACCCCACTCACACTCCTGCGGCTGGCAGGAAGGAGCCTGCTGAGGGACCAGGCCTCAGCCATCGCAGCTCTGGAGTACCTGCCCGCAGAGCTCTTCCCCCAGTTCTTCACTCAGGCCTACTGTAGGAGAATCCCGGAGCCCCTGAAGGCGGTGGTGCACGCCTGGCCCTTCGCCGTCCTCCCTCTGGGCTGCCTGTCACATCTGTCCCTGGATGAGGTCTTCAAAGCCGTGTTGGATGGGCTAGACGTTTTGCTGGCCCAGGAGGTTCGGCCCAGGAGGTGGAAACTGCGGGTGCTGGATTTAAGGAACACGGGAGCCAACTTCTGGAGAATGTGGTGTGAAGACAGCACCCAGAAGTGCTCACGGACAGGACCAGTGGCTGTGCACAGCTCCAGCCCCAACATGGAGCACCCCTTGGCTCCCTTGGAGATGTTCCTAGACCTTAACTTCAATGAAAGGGACAGGGATAAGTTTTTCATGTACATCATCCAATGGGCCCGGCAGAGAAAAGGGTTGGCACACCTGTGCTGCAAGTCACTGAGGTTTTTTGATGTGCCCTTTGAGAGGGCCAGGATGGTCCTGGATGCGGTGCAGCTGGACTGCTCCAGGAGGTGGAAGTGGACTACACCTGGGACCTGCCCACCCTGGGGACATTTGCTCTCTACCTGGGTCAGATGAGTAACCTGCAGAGTCTCTCTGTCTGCCACATCAAGGTGTTAGCTGAGGAGGAGGATGAACAGGAAGAGGATGAGGAAGAGGAGGAGGAGGAAGAGGAAGAGGAGTGGGAAAGGGAGGAGCAGGAAGAACAGTAATACTTTTCCCAGTTCATCTCTCTGATGCTAAGGCTGTAGCACCTCAAGAAGCTCTACTTGGAATCTCCCTCCTTCAGCCCCGGCCACCAGGCAGCTGAAGTCCCTGCATCTGTTTGGCCTCAGGCTTGCGGATTTCAGTCTTGAGTCCCTCCTAGCTCTGCTGGAGGCAGTGGCACCCACCCTCGAGGACTTGGGCCTGGATCACTGTGGGATGGCGGATTCCCACGTCGAGGCCATCCTGCCTGTCCTGAGCCGCTGTCGCCAGCTCAGGGAATTCACCATGTCTGAGAACAACTTTTCCGTGGCCACCGTGGAGAAGCTGCTGCGCCACACAGCCGGGCTGCACAGCTTAGAGATCGAGCTGTACCCCGTCCCCCTGGAGTGTTACAGGACCCAAGGGACTGTCAACCAGGAGAGACTTGCCCTGATCCAGGCTGAGCTGACAGGGACCCTGAGGGAGTTAGGACAGCCCAGGAGCATCCTGCTTGCCACCAAGCACTGTAGTGAATTTTATGACGTGGCATTTTCATGACATGGAGCCCGTGATGTGCCCCTGTAGTGACCCTGCTCAGGGGGTGCACCCAGCAAAGGCTTCTTTCTGGGCCTTTGGAAGCTGAAACCTCGGACCAGGGTGCGTTATGCAGGGGGCACCCGCGTTTCAGGTTCATGCTCAGCTTGAATGGGGAAAGGGAGGGACCAAGCCCGGGAACAGGATTGCAGGGGCCAAGGTTGGGGCGTTCATGGGACCTCAGGGGGCAAGTGTCCTAGAATCAGAAATATGAATCTGATTTGCATGGGGAAGGGGGAGGGGTATTTGGCCTCCAGCTGCATGTGTGGGAGTTAATCCTGAGGTAGATGATTGTAAAGGAATGATCAGAAATAAAGACAATTTCAAAGGCCAAATAAATAAATAAGAAAAAAGAATTGCGGCTCCATGATGAATCTGGTACCAACCACTTCCCTCCGACCCCAGGAGGGGGACCTCACAAGTTGACTCTTTGCTTGATTTTTCTCCAGAGATTTCCCAGGTTGTCTTGGGAGCACAGTCTCACAGTTCCTGGAATTCCTGGTCCGGGAGTGAGTTTCCACTGGGAGATTTCAGCATTTATGTTGTGATGACTTGCTTTTACCCAGAGAAAGCTCAGAGCAAAACAGAATTTGAGGGTTTGAGTCCTCAGCCTTTACATGTGCTCACTGTGCTGTGTGACCTAGAGCAAGTGATTCACCGCTGTAAGCCTCAGTTTCCTCACTTGTGAATGGGAGAATAGTAGTATCTACTGCCAGGATTTTGAGAACCAGTGCCAGCATTCCATGAAGCTCACAGGTGTCAGGTGTTCCATTTCCACCATTCTGTGTCACTGGGAAGCTGTCATGAGGTTTTCTATCAGCCTAATTGTCTTCCTAACAATAAAGTTCTCAAGTCCTTACCTAAACACTGTGACACAATGGAAGGCCGCCATGGATGACCTTGCAAATTCATTTCACCTCTTAGAGCCTCAATTTCCTTATTTGTAGCATGAGGATGCTCTTCCTGTCCAGAGTGTCAGCTGAGAAGAGTGTATGTGAAAGGGACTCAGAGGAAAGCCACGCAGGGAAACAGTAAATACCCAGGAGCATCCCCTCACTGACAAGAGCCCAGAGAAGTGTCAGAATTGCTAACACCTGTGCTTGCCGGCTTCCATGAGGACCACTCCAGCCTTTAGGCTCTCTCTGATGTGAAACACACATAACAAGATTCACCTTTCTTTTCTTTTTTTCTTTTTGTATCCTCGCCTGATGATCCTTTTTCCATTGCTTTTCAGAGAGTGGAAGGAGGAAGGGAGACACACACACACACACACACACACATCGACTGGTTGCCTCCCACACATGCCCTGACAGGGCAGGAAGCAAAACTGCAACCCAGGCCGAAACCGGTTTGGCTCAGTGGATAGATAGAGCGTTGACCTGTGGACTGAGGGGTCCCGGGTTCGATTCCGGTCAAGGGCATGTACCTGGGTTGCGGGCACATCCCCAGTGGGAGGTGTGCAGGAGGCGGCTGATCGATGTTTCTCTCTCATCGATGTTTCTAACTATCTCTCTCCCTTCCTCTCTGTAAAAAAATCAATAAAATATATTAAAAAAAAAAAACTGCAACCCAGACCAGGAATAGAACCTGAGACCCTTCAGTGCGAGGTCAGACGCTCCAACCACTGAGCACACTATCCAGGGCAAATTCCCCATTTTTTAAAGTGAACGATTCAGTGGCATTTAACACATTCACAATGTTGTACAACCAGTTCCTCTACCTACTTCCAGAACATTCCATCACCCAAAAAAGAGACTTCGCTCCCATAAGCAATCACTTCCCATCCACTCGCCCCAGCCCCTGACAAACACTACTCCCCTTTCTGTCTCTATGGATTTGCCTGTTCTGGGCATTTCATATGAATGGGGTCAGACAACATGTGGTCTTTTGTGTCTGGCTTCTTTTACTTGGCATGATGTTTTGAGGGCCATCATGTTGTAGCATGTTTCAGTGCTCCAGTCCTTTTTATGGCTGAGTAATATTCCACTGTGTGGATGGACCACATTTTGTTCATTCATTCATCTGTTGATGGGCATTTGGGTTGTTTTTGGGTGTGGATGGAGTTGCTCTAATTATGGTGCACAAGTTTTGGTTTTCTCCCCTGTTATAAATCCTCCTGGGTCTATACCTAAGAGTGGAATTACTGAATCATATGGTAACTCTGTGTTTTACCTTTTGAAGATCACCAAGCTACTTTCTACAGAGCTTGCACCAGGCTCCAGCCTTTTTGTCACCCTAGCTGGGCCGGTGCCTTTAAACACTGGTGCCCCTCTGCTCCATGAGACAAACCACGGGGGTCAACCCAGGGTGTGAGTCCTGATGTCCACGGATGTGTCAGGAGCCTTGCTGTGCTGGTGAACCCCGGGGACAAAGCAAATAGAGGGGAGGAAAGGAAAATGTGAGGGGACTTTGGATGTGAAATATGACGGAGCTTTGGAGAAAGGAGTTTGATCCTGGAGGATGAAAGCAAAGCAGGGTGTGGTTTTTGTAGAAATGTTGTAAAATGTAGACAGATGCCCAGATACAGGGACTTTCGGCTGTATTTGAGCAAAGAGAAGGCAGGTTTACCCCAAAATGTCTGCCCTGGTGCTGGGGTCCAACCCCAGCAGGTCCAGGGGTCCCCAAAGGTGTGGACGGAGTCGGTGAAGAAGGAATGACACGGAGACAGCGTTCAGTTGATCAGCAGCCTTGCCAGGATCTCTAGCCACAATCTCCAGCCAAGTTCTGTGTCCATGTTCTCTTGCTAG